ACATTTACAGCCAAGATCTTTCGGGATTCTTTACAAGCGTTTCTATTGACCGCTTTCTTGCCAGCCTCCACCTTATGACACACTGGTACAAGAGCAAATGCACAAAACACGCCTCAGCATTCACAAGCACCCATCACGAACCGGACCCCACCATGCGCGTTCAAAGGGGCCGACCCCGATTTCAAAAACCTGGACGCCACGCCATACACCTTGACCATCTGCCCAGCATTTGCAAAGCAATTCTTCTTTTGAATTACTGCACCGTCGGCCACACCCTTCTACAGCAGACCCGAGGCGCACCAATGGGCTCACCCGCCAGCCCAGCACTTTGCGACATGGTTGTCGCCGTCAGCGAACAATCAGGGATCCACACACTTTTCGCAACATCACCTACAACGTCAAGCACTGCAGCACACCCATTTTCACCATCAGCGGTTTTTTCGCCTTTCAGCTCTCTCTGCAGGCAACATGACTCACGGTCCCCGATGGGATCTGAATGGCGGTGGCAGTGGTGCGACAAGGAGGGTCGCTGGTCTTGGACCTGGTTTGTCGCCACACGTGCCTGGCTCCATTCCGTCCGCAGCAGAGATTCTCAATCACAGACGCAGCCCGCGGACCAACCTACCTCCGTAACGGATACAGGTGGCAGCGCTGGTAGGTCCTCTCCTACCAAACGCAAAAGATCCCAAACACCGTGAGTCGTGAACACGCTTATTCAAATGCAACGTTGCCGATTTCACCGGCCACCATATTCGAATTGCAGCCTCACAGCATGAAAAGACCAATTCAACCTGCATCATTGGTCTGCGTGCGCCCCGGTTTCGGGGCAGCGTGTGTGTGAACTCCTCTCGTACATGAGGTAAGGGGCTCACAACCCAATCATGATTTCTGCAGCATGTTTTCTCAGATTATTTCTTTTGCAGGGGAGTGTGGCACTTGCATCCTACCACACTCAACGAAGCTGTGGATGCAAGCGGGAAGCGGGACCTGATCAGTCCTGTGTACCTGTATGGCAGCCCCCTGTGGTGCCAAGATTAGTTTGAGGACAGGCCCCCTGAGGTGTCCACATTAGACAAATACATCACTGTTTTGCACGTCTGCCGCAATCTGACATGCCGCACACTGACATGCATGATGGCTCGACCCCCATGACTCATCACATGAGGCAGTGGCTGGCTTGTGCAAGTGCAGCTAGAGTATGTACTTCAAGTGAAGCTGTCCGCGAGTGCAGAAAACACTTTCCAAGTGTGTGTCTGTGTGTGTGTGTGTAGCAGCACGAGGGATGAGGCAAGTCCTCATCATTGTTTCAGATCTGTCGCTCTGAAACCGTGCCTGCCATGAGCAAGTCTTAGAGTCGAATTAACGCAGGGGATGGCAGTGCCTGTGTGCTGGTCTCCCATTAACGAAGGCACCAGCCACATGCAGTTCCTGGATGCGGTTGTGCATATCTGGTTTGCCACCCATTGGGCCAGGACCCTCAGCCCCGGACGACGACGTGATTAGACATCCATAAGCAGCTGGCAGGTAACAACCAGCGGAGTTCATTGGAATCTTTCGGCAATCATTCGCTTAGCCAGCAAAACAAAAAGCTGGCTAAAACCACTTTTACTGGTGATTGGTCGGGACATGTCTTCGGCACCAACAACGTGCCACTTCTGAGCCCAGCCATGGAGAATGAGCAAAACCTCAGCCGGATTGTCATCAAACCGCAGCGAAGATCCACAAATTTGTTCCATGCAATGCGAACGTACCTCGGGGTCACCATGAAGGCCATCAAGTACGTGTCCTGAAAAAAGCGTTATTTTCCGTCGGTATCCGTTTAGAAACAGGGACAGGGCCAAACCTCTTGTCAGGCATCAGAATGTACAGTCAAAGATCCTGTGACGTCTCATGTTGCCGTTTTGTCACATTCATACATATGTATGCCCTAGTGGCTACTTGTGTGCCGGGGAATGCTGGGACCATTGTAATTACACAAGAAGCACGGGGCAGTGAGCCTTCTATCATCCACTGCCCAGCGAAGACGGTGATAAAAGTGCTATGACGCAATCTGGGGCGCCAAATTGTGTACCCGCGAGCGTTACTACCAGTGTCAATTGCATGTGTTTTCTGCATTGATATGGCGCGGGGCTCAGCCCAGAACCCCATTGTACCGCTTCGCCGCTGAAAGCACGAATGTTTTTACCCTATAAATCAACCACAGGGAGGATTGCACGAGCGCCCGATTGCCTGTGAATCTGCATGTCTGCGTCTGTTTGTTCCGTTGCTATACTGCTATACTTGAGCCTGCGCATGTGGATGGCTTTTCGTCCCGGCCAGCGGAGCCTGCTTGAGGCGGAGTTCAATGCTGTCCCTATGAAAGACGCCTTGGGTTGGGCTAAGAGTGCCATCACGTCCAAAGAGGGTGCACCTCAGATGCTTTTGGCAGTCTTCCGGTGATGTGGACAGCATCCAGTCAAATCCAAGGCAGAACTCAAATCCGAAGCAACAAAATTGGCGCTCAAGGCCAAAATGGCGCCATTTGCCAAGCATATTCAAAGTTCATGCTCTCTGAGTTTGTTTTCGTGGAAATCATCAGGGATGCACGCAGCCCAAGGTTTGAGCATCAAGATACACAAGAGCTCAAAGAGGGAGCAGCCGCCAATGCCCGAGCACTGGTGGTGTTGTTTGCGGATCGGCTGTTGATTCGTGTGGATTCAGGACTTTATGGGCAAGCTGAAGGAACTTTGGGACAAGAGTGCCGACGAGGAGCGCAAAGTGTAGATGGAGTTGCCTTTGATGCAGGAATACGCAGGATTCAGTTCCGTCTGTGCGCAATGTGAGCCAACACAGCTTTTATGCGGTACCAGTAGGAGAGTTGAACGCAGTCAGGATGGTCAGAAAGACATATGGTGGTTCAAAAGATGTTTATGGATTTGTTGGAGCAAAGTCAAAGTCGAGCCAAGACAAACTAGGCGGCAGCACAAGAATGTCCATCTGCTGGAAGGTTGTCGCGTCTTGCCTTGGGAAAACAAATGCCTAAAACATGTGTCCTAACTTATAGAACCGGGAATCTTCGGTTTGGCATGCGCGAGATTGCAATGGGAAACACAAGTAGCATGTCAGTCCATACTGTCGGGGCGGCAGCTCGTCAATTGCATGCAAATGGAATGTTGAACGTCGTACGCAAAAGCCAAACCGGGTCATGAAACACATCAGAATTTAGTTAAATCCCTTGCTCTTGATTTATTGCCAGAGACGTGGCCGATTGGAGTAGCCGTTTAAAAAGGGCTCAAGGGCCGGCGCACTAGCGGGCGCCAGAGCGCGCAAGAGACATCTTAAGATAACTTCAACTCTTAGCAGCGCATCTCCCATTGAATGGACACTCATCAGTGCCCACGTGCAGCATCAATGTTCCTCTGTTGTACCGAAAGCTGTGTACTCGAGCATTCCGTCCCACTGGGAGACGAAGGAAAAAACGAAAAGTGATATCCGTTGGTAACACCCTTGTCGTAATTCAGCCTACATCCTTGGATGCTCTTGCACAGTTCGGTCGCCGCGTTTTGAACCCGAGCATATCCTGTGCTGCTGACCTGCAAGGAGACGAAGCTGAAGGCGGCCGTCCTTCTGAACAAAGCGAAACAGACTTTGGAGGCGAAGGGTGTGAAGGACAAGTCGACTGCAGCCCAGGTTTGTTGGTACAATTTGGATCGTTTTTGAAGCTGGGACAGCGTAGACCAGGCAAGATAGACTCGTGAGGTCAGCACAGATGTAGACAGTGTACAGTAACGGTGCCGAGAGGACTTGCCAGAAAAAGTCGTGGCAGTCGAGAAGCAGCTCGAGGCAGCCAAGGCAAGCTGCTGATAGTTTCTGCTTGTCGGGCTCATCACGTGCTTGCATGAAACACAGGAGAATTTAGCTGGAGGCAACGTTGACTTGGCAGGGGGCTTATTATGGCCTACGGGTGGCGGATTCTCTGCGCACGAAGTCCAAAAGCCACCGTGCTGGGCAGCAGCTGGCTAAGGCTGAGTTAGCATCTGCTGCTCGAGGCGGTAACCTACAGGGCCAGGCACGTGCCTTGATAGATGTTACCCAGAAGCAGCGGTGGGATGGCACGTATTGTGCAGGCTGCTGGACTGTTGAAGATGGCAATGAAGAAGCCTGAGACGGAGCTCCTTGCCAACAAGGCGATCGCTACAAGTGCGCAATGCAAGCGGCTCGCAGACGCATGACGCAAGGTCGCATTCGCTGTAGGCGAGTCCGTTTGATCCGCTGCAGGCGGCCGAAACCTTGGAGAAGCTGAAGGCTTCCGGTTTGGACGCGAAGGCGTCAACTCTCCGATTGGGCCAACCTGCTCGTTGCAAGAAGCCCCCCAGGTGCTGCAGGCATTCCAGAAAGCTGAGACAAAGCTGGGCCCAATTCACGTGTAGTTAGGATTTCTGAAGCATCCAAGAGGACACAAGGCGGAATGAATGATCAGCTCTCGAAGCGAAAGTTTGCGGGACTCAGTTGGCCAAGTCAGCCTTTTGAGCGCTTCAGCGAGTGCTGAGAAATCCTGGAGCTGGCTAATGCCGGAGGCATTAGCGGTTAGCGGTTCCGTAGCCACCCTGCGCCGGCCGTGATGAAAAGCAGGCTCCTGCCTTCCAGCAGGCTTTCTGCACATGTGTTCTTGCCTTGAAGGTTTGTCTTGCTGATGGATCTTTCCGAAAATGGCTCCAAGGATTTCCAGGAATGAAGGTGTGACCTGGGCAGCAGTCAAAGTCTGACATACACAGTCAAGCTTGCCTTGAGTCTGACTTTGTGATACGTCAACACTAGGGGTACACACCCAAATGTCTCGATGTATTTCGTGGAGGCGAAAAGCTAACCTGGACACGAGAGATCTATTTCACCTGCCATGTCACTAAAAGGTAGGTCGACTCGGGCAATTGACTGAATGACTCCTCTTGGGCCATCGCCGCACTGGGACTTCGCTCCAGCAAAGTAAAGGCGAGCTCGATGGGTTCGCCTTCCACGAGAGAATGCCAGTGCGCAGCTATGCAGACGCCTTGGCGTCTGCTGGCGGCTATCTTTTCTGCATAGCTTCGTCGACTCGTGAGTGGATCCGGCAATTGCCATTGCCTGAGGCCGACTGGAGGAAGATTGCAGATCTGGCGAAGGAGGTCTTGTCGCTCTTGGAGGAGGCTGTGACGCTGTGATGACAGTGATGACAGTGTGACACAGCAGAGGTATACTCGTACAATACTCGTGGAGCTTGTGCAATGGTGCAAGCAGGAATGGCCAGAGGTGATTGCCTGGCCGGGGACCTGTTCCGCTCCTCTGCGGTTCTTGTAAGGCTTGTCTTTGCCCTGAAGGTTGGTGGTGGGCTCCGGCCCTGCCTGGGTGCTGTACGTTGTCGTCGTGCGAAGGTGCATTGACTCGACGTGGGCTGGGCCCGGCCATGCCCGGCCCTATGGATTTGAGGCTTGGGAGGCTTGGGAGGCTTTGGCAGGCCTTGGAAGGGCGTCAAGCAGAAACTATTGCCCCGATTCTGTAGGACTGCAGGGCTGCAGAAAGCTTACAGTCTTTCCAAGTTGAGGCTCCCATGCGCTTCGAAGACTGATGGCCGAGTAGGACAAGATACTCAGTACCCCAACGGCGCCCACCCAATGCAAAGGCCTCGGAGCAGTGCAGCAGCAGCTGTCGCTTGGGCGACGTGGCTTGCTGTGCAGGCATTGGTCCTGCAGCGGTTCGGTGCATGTGAGAAGCAGACTGCATGTACTCATCATCGAGGTTTCTGCCCAGGGCTCTGGTGCCCTGGATGTGACAAGGAAGCGGGCGCTTGCGGCACTCCAGGTGTTTCATCTTGCTTCCCGTCAGTCGCCACGTTTCGTTGCGTTTCGGCCACTGCTAGGCTACGCATGAGGTTGCGCAGAAGTCTGTTGTGATGGTGGAGGTGTCGTTTCCTTTTGCCTCCTTGGGTGCCTATTCACGCGACCCATATCCGTGCGAGGCATGGATCATTGTCTTTCTTCCGTTTGTTGCTGATCTGTGGAGGCACGGCAGCATGGCCCACGCTTTCTGCGAGAAAAAAGCATGTCGAAAGTTGTCAAAGCAAAGCTTTCGCGTCGCAGGCATTCTCGCAGTGCCTGGAATGCTCTCAGCTTGCCAGCACGGCTTGTGCGCCAACAGGACGACGATGTTTTGCACAGGTCTTCAGCTGAGACTGCAGGTACTAGTCGGCGTCCCGGTGGGCCTGTACCTGACAGCCTTGGTTGTTAGGAGGAGCCATGCGTGCTGTTGAGCCACAAGGTAAGTCTGCAAGGATTGGGCATGACCAGCACAGTGCTATTGACTGCTATTGTGCCTTGCAGGATTATCAGAGCTTGCCGCCGAAGAAAGGAAGGTCTGCGCCAAGCAGTCAAGCACAGCACCTAGAGATCTCCAGGGAAGGCAAAAGGAAAAGGAAAGGATGCGCCGCAGTGCTGGCGACTCACAGGGTCCAGGATCTTTCTCGCAGCTTTCATCCTCAGGTCTTTTCTTTTCCACGGCTCCTTTGTCTTGGCATGCCCCCTGCTTTGGTTCTCTACAGGACTACACAACAGCTCTTTGAGATTTCGTTCATCGCTTGTGCAGTGAAGATTGTGTGCAAGGACGTGTCTCTATCTGGTGGTTGAACGTCTTGCTGTCGAATGTGCTCACAACAGCGCCAAGCCAAGCCGCGTTTGAAGCCCAAGGGCACGGCCCTATTTCTTGAGTTCGTGGTGTCGCTGATCGCAAGGTCGCATGCACTCATGTGACGATGGGTTTGCGTTATTCCTCTGGCAATTACGGATCACGTAAGCCGTAAGACCGAAGATCGAGTATTAGCAAGTCCGATGCCACGACGTGGTCCGTTTCTCTGCCCGCAAACTGGTCAGACGAGATGAACAGATCACATAACGAGAGTGCTATCTGAGAACATGCTTTGATCTGGGAAGAGACATGAAGAGGCTGATATCCTCCTCGTTATTGCATGTCACAGTGCTCGAATGGTGCAACAGTGCAACACTGATATCGCATGACAGGGCTACAACAATCTGTCGACGCTGCAAAGTATCATTGAATCATTCTTCGATATGCAAGAGCACGATAGTCACGAGTGGTCCAGAAGGTAAAGAAGCTGTACAAGACACAACTCTACCTGTGACGGTGCGACGAAGCACCAAATGCACTTTTGGATAGAACTAGCGCAAGACGACCTGCAAGATAGACGTTGGTCAAGTGAGCAACTGTTTTTTCCAAGTCAGCATGGTGTCCAGGTGCCTACCCTAGGTTCGCTTGTTGCCCTGGGCTGGCAGCCACTCTTCGACCCAGTGGCTGGCACGTCCTCAGCGACAGCAATCGAGGACAGCAAAGTCTAGAATTTGAGCCGTGCGTTGATGCCAGGCAAAGTCGCGGGTGTGCAGGATATTCAGGGGCAACCTGCGCTGCCCTGGAGAGCTCTTGGCGATACCAACAGCATGGGAACCGTGGAGGCGCGATGTTCCTTCAGAACATTCCCTGACACAAGTCATGCAAAGCAAGTACCCAAACCAACACAAAAATGACGCTAAGAAGCCTACCTGAGCCTGCCAGCACCACCGTCGAAACAAGAAGCACAGGTGCCATGACCCTTTCACAAGAGGCTTGCCAGCCCCGCATCAGGAGCTATAGACGCAGAGGGCTGTTGCCAGTGAGAGCAAAGTTGAACTCGGTCCGGAAATCGGTGCGCAATCTACGGGTGTGACCTTGAAAAAGGGCAGGCGAAGACACACAAAACAAAGAACTGGAGTGCGACGACAGTTTTTTGCCAAGCCTTGCCGGGAAGGACATGACAAAGTTAGCTCCGAATGTCATTGGCTTCGGAAGTCTCTGTTGTGTTAAGGCCAAGCCCTAGTTCTGCGATTGGCTGAGTCCAGTGCTTCGGTAAAGACGAAATTATGCAGCCTTGTCAGCCTGTCGGCTTCCACTTCAGTGCAGGCCGCTTCAACTGGAATGCGGCCGCGAAGACGAAGCCATAGGAGGTGCTAAGTGAGGCAGATCCGATGCTGCTCACCACGAGCTTTCACGTGTCCCAGGGCTGCCGTCGACACGCCTACCGCTAGACCAGTAGCAGCCTTGTCTGCAGCCAGAACCTGTGTTCGCCAGTGTTGCAGCTCCGCAAGCAGAGGCCCAGCCGAGTTCGCTTCGGCCGAAGTCCGAATGTGCAGCTGTATGGCACATGTCTCCGAAGGTTCTCTCTGAGCTCACTGAGGCTGTGGCTTTCTTACTGGGCTTCCTGGCCCCTCCTTCAGCTCCTTGAGCAAGGCAGGTCAGGTCAGATCGGGGCAGTCAGTGTGTCGGACGGATGTCAGGATTGCCTGCCCTGCTGGAGCTACAAGTTCTCGGTGTCAAGCAGGCGCGGGGCTGGGCCGGGGCTCGCCTGTTACCTATGGCTTTCTTGGCTTCCTCTCGATCTCGAGGTGCAGGAACTGCAATCGCAGTCGAAGAGAGTTCTCATAGTGTATGTGTCAGACACCGAGAGCCGAGGGGTAAAACACAGAAAGTCATGTGTATTGAATCCAAGGCTCTGGCTTCTGGTGTGGAAGGGAAGCCGTGCTCAGCTCGCTGTCCTGCGCCACGGTCGCTTTAAAAGAGGGGCAGCGACATGCCAAAGGGCAGTTCGTGTGCGAGGCGATTCACACTTGGCCGATGCCGGTTGTGTCGGGCTCAGGATCGCCGCGCTGGACACTGCACTGCATACAAGCACCCTTGCGGCCGAGTCGCCGAGGCTAGAGATCCTTCCGGGCCTCCTGGGAGTTCACGGACTTCAGATTCTGAGCATGCTGCGAGGCTCCACGAGGCACTTTTGCATCGCTCGTGCTCCGCTGACATGGGCCAGGTGGAACCGAGGGGATGCCAGTGCCATCCACAGCTAACATGTTCCTGGCGTGCCTTTGCTGGAACGGCTTTGGAAAGCACGGGGTCGAGCAAATCCAAGCCACTTGCACCAAGTTGCATCGGGTGGGTTGGGCGGTTTAATGCTTGTTATGCTGTCATGGCTTGACTGGGTTCCCCTGCCATGGCATTGTCGAAGGGATGGGTTCAATTGCAAGCTGTGGCCTCGTTCTCTGCTCGCCCGATAAGCTCGGTGGTCTTCGAGGCAACAGCTTGTGACGTAGAACCCAAACTCGGCGAAGAGTTTGGCCATCAGCAATTGCCGTTTGAGCCATGAGATCTGTTGGCACATCAGCCCGCGTTGTTGGTACTTCTCGCTGTTCCAAGGAAGCTTTCGGGGGAGGCTTCAACGGTTCCATCTGGTCTGGTATCTTCCGCCACGCCTTCACCGTTTTACCCATGTGATATCGCTTGACTTCCCTGATCTTGGCTGACCCACCCCACTTAGGGCTCAAATTGATGGGAACAGGGAGGATCTCGTGTCCAGATCCCACCTCTCCCGTAAAATGCAGGTTTCGATCGATGAAAAGGCAGAGATGCGGCGTTGTTTTTGCAACCACTCGTTGCATCAAGCGGGTTCATCAGAGCGCAGAAGGAGAAGGCTCAGTACACCAGTTCTCTCATGAAGAAGACCACAATGGCCCGGCCGTATGCTTGCCCTTAGTGCGCCTGTCCCACCTAGGGTGCTTTGTGCAGTCACGACCCAGCACAGTACTCTGGTGGGCACACTGGCTGGAACCCCATGGCACTGCTCCCACTCACGGCTGGCTCGTGGCTCGCTATTTGATCTCACTCATGACCCAGGTTTCAATCCATCTTCAGGCGTGGCTGGCGTATGTTGGCAGCCGCTTCCTGCCAGCCAATATTAGGTCACTGGCAGAGGTGTTAGGAGTCAGGAGTGCGAGAGCGAGACAGCATTGTTTGAGGGCGCAGCGACGGTCACGTTGAATTGAGATTTCTTCCAGCGAGTTTGCAAGCTCTGGAGCTCGAGATCGAAGCAGTTTGAGAACACATTGGCCTGTTCTTTTTCAGCTTGTCAGCTTGTGCTTTGAATGTCCATCTGGAGAATTGCCATAATAGGGGGTTTCGACGATGAGAAATGGCAGCCCCAAAGCTAGACCAGGCCACCGCGGCCCTCGCATTGCTGGCGGCATCAGCTTCTTGGCGCTTAATGTGTGGGTGTTTGTTGGCATGGTTGGGTCCAGTGGTCATACTAACATTGGGGCATTTGAGCCAGGTAGTTCTGTTCTACCGGCTTGTCAGCGTCACCAACAGCCGTGACCCCGGGCACGGCAAGCACATGCGACTACCTGCAAGTCCGTCTGCGCTGCGGCATAGGGGCAAGCTCAGGAGCTCTTACAGCGCTAATCTGGGTCTTTGCCGCAATGGATACCGCCGACACCTTGGCTGCCGATGCCGGCGAGATTTTGCTGGCAAGGACTCGGAAGATGGCTGAGCATCGCTGAGCCTTGAGTGCGAGCCTTTAGCGCGCCTTGGAGGAAGCTCGCATTTTGGGCCGTGGCTATGCTGTGGTCTGCGCTGGTGCAGCTCCCCTTTGTTGGAGTTGGGCTCAGGTCTGGGAAGTGGTGGGGAAGGGCAGAGTAGCAAGGCTAACCCCGCACCCCCCTCCTGTACTCCCCCCTACACTGCCTACACTTTCACCCATTTTTCAACCCGCCTAACAATTCAACCATTCAATCCGGCAATACACAAAGCACTTCCCAAAACCAATACAATAATCCCGAAACAAAGCAAGACACCCAAACCAATACAATAAGCCATCACATAACCGGTAAAGCAAATGAACTTGGTTGTTTTTATCGGTAGGAGGAGCAACAACAGCAGATAGTTTAGAAGTTGATAATAGTACAACCAACGGCGATACAATAACTTCAACAAACTCTAATGGTGTTGAGATTTTAAAACTACTAGTGATACGGTCAGTGCAATTGGTACATTAACAGCGAAGGGAGAATCTTATGTAGATGTCAATTTGACAGGAACGCCAGAAGTTGCAGTATTAGATGTTTTTGTCGAAAAATTAAAGATGACACATGCTCAATTAGCAGGACCAATAGACCAACTACTTTGGAAATCCAAATGCAAACGGAGAAACAATAACTGAAATAGGAACGTAACAGTTAATACTGATGGTATTGATGTAATCGGTGATACATCTTATTCAGGAAGTATTGGACCAAGTACTGATACAAGATTAAAGCAAGATAACAGAGAAATCAATTCAAAGAAAGCAGTTGAATTAGTAAAATACGTTGTTCCTAATACATACACATTTATTGATAAAGAAAAATACGGCGACAGGTGGCATTGCGGTTTCATTCCTAATGACTTTTCTGAACTGATAACATGCCATCAGAATGGAACAATCTTGTTAGAGAAGGAATGGACGGATATTCAAATTTGATGAGAGTATGACTACGCCCTTGCTTTGGCATGCTTTACAACATGCACTGAATGGAGTAGACAGTCCACAGAAACAGGTTAAGAAGTGAAAGGGTAAAGGGAAAGGATATAACAGCGATAGTAATGAATATAAGTTATAAGATAATATGGTAAGTAGAACTTCAAAAGATGATAATGATAATGACTGTATTAATCACCTGAACAGTATCAGTGAAAATCATTTAGATTTAAGCAATATTGACAAACGACAAATGAAATTTTAAAAGAGATGATAAAGGAAATAAAAGAAGTAAAGGAAAAGAAGAAGGATAAAATAATGCATCGTTTGCCTATTCAAACATGTAATTTCAGTTTGTTTGGTGTATTAATTTCTAGAAAACAATATTAGTATTCTTCTTCAGTCAATAATAAATGCCTTCTCAAATCTGACATTAAGCATCTTGTTGATATCTTGGCTGTTCCTTTGCTTTGTAGAAGAATGAATATGGCGCATCATTCCCCGCTTGTTGATACATATCATACAATGTCTTTTTATCAACAAGGGCACCATTTTCTTCTAAGAAATTCTTAACTTCTGTCAGATTTTTTAGTTTAAAGATGTATAAAGAACTCGCATTAAGACGAACAATTGGAGCAGTAGAAGAACACTTTTGTAGTGATAAAATGCAACTGACCGCTTGTTGTCTCCGCCTCGCAAATAAACCGTGTAGAAAAGTTGAACATCTGAAAAAAAATGTCGTCGCTGTGGTCGTCAATGGCAGTACATATACTGAATACATCTTTTTATTTGTTGTTTTTCTGAAACTCAATAGGTCTTCTTTTGTATCATCCACTTTCATTACTTCTTTCTGGTATTTCCTGACTTCGTAAACCGCAGGGTCGCCATGAATTGAAGGCATGAATATATACAGTCTTTCAGAAGAACCGCGGTTCATATTAAGCAAAAGGCTTTGGATGAGAACCGTTTCGCCCCTGTTCTTGAAGCTACAACAATTGAACGGAAGGGTAATTTTGGCGTCATTTCAGACTTGACTTGTTTGTATTTGTATTCAGGTATGTTTATTGGTTTGTATAACGTTTATCAGACGTTATGAATACTACATAGAAGAGTTATATCGTTATAAATATACGAGCGATTATAATGACCATTCAGAAGTTATAGACGAGATAAAGAACATCGATATAATAAAATGACGAGATAAAGAATGTGTTGTCATAGTTTTTGGAGTTCTTGAACGCAGTTTGCTATTATTGTAAAAAAGTTAAAGATCTAAACAGTATAAACCAGCGACATTAAAGGAAACAGCAACGATAAAGGATTTCGTATTAATGCCAGTGGCATATCTTGTATCCCCTGTCGTTGTAAGAGACACTTTTTTCATCTGGAGACCAAAACAACAAGGGAGAAAAATATATTAACAGCGAATACTCTTACTGATAAAAGGAATACTAAATTTGGTGCCGGTGGGCATACTTTGCCCGATGATATTCTTAAACGAAACCAGATACTAATTTACAAGCAGGAAGTGTTGAAATATGCGATACAGGATGGGGCAAACGTCAAAGTACACCCGAAGAGTTAGAAGAAAGAGTAGAGAGAATTGAAACAGGTCTTGATTTAATGAAGAAAGATATAGAAGATATAAGCGAACATAAGTTTAGATTAGATTAAGGATTTGTTTATATTACAAAATGACAGGGCAAGATGCAATCAGTGGAAGAAGGAGAAGTGAACTCCTATAATAGCAACCCCAGTGGATGGACTGATGAAAGGGGAAGTAATGAGCTACATTCAACAGCACTACATAAGCTAATGCTGAATTAGTTTGTGAATGCTTTTTATAACAGTATTACAAAATCATTCTTGTTTTTTGACACTCTATGTTGATGAAATTACTGTATCGTTTAATGTTAAAGATAGTTATAAATATGAAAATGATATTAAACACAGTCCTACTTGTAAGATATGTCTCTTCTGACGCCTTTAGCGTAGAAAAAGATTTCGTTCCAAAGGACTACAGACCCCATCCGATCCGGCGCAGATTCCGTCTGAGAGCTTCTGTTTGACATGAACATGCCATGAGGAACAACGTACAATGTACATATGCACCGATCAACCGGTGCCGAAAAGATTCCGAGAAAAGAAATATGATAGATTGGCAGATCTGGGATAAGTCCCACTGCCCAAGCTTGAAGCAGACGAAACACTAAATCCCGCTGCCCAGGCTTGGTGCAGACGAAACGCTCGGGTCATTTATACACCGAATGGAAAAGGGAGTCTTGCTCACTTGCTCAACAATTCTACCATGCACGAATAGTGCTTTCGTAGTTGAAATAAAAGCTAACGGCATGTTGAGTTTGGTAGGCTTGGGTACATGCTCTTCATTCCCAAGTGTCGTCCGGCTGCCATTTGGGTCAAGCCGTCCCGTCAGAGCCAAACTGGCAGGACCGAAGGTTTGACCCGCCCACCCTCCCTTGTACCGTGGCACGGCCTTCGGTGGAGGTACCCTGCTACGCAAGGGCTGCGCGAGATGCGACGCCTTTGGGTGGATCCCGTCACGCGGGGCTGCTTCTCTCTGGGGTGTCAGAGTGAAGCAAGCTGGTGTGACCAGTTGCGTGTTGGGCGCCTGTAGACGCCGGTGTTGCCGGCACAGGTGCGGCCCATAAGCATACTCCGAATGCATATCTCGAGGGCGTCTCGAGTTGTACTTCACTGGGGTGACCACGCGTGCTGAGGAGTCAAAAAGGAGAGTGACACCGAATGCTCGGCTATGAACCGGATTGATGCTGGAATGAAAGATTGAAACAACTTATGTAGGAGATGCTTAAATAGCACGAGTGGTTGTAAGCAAAAAGCATGTCTTTATAAGGGTTTCAAACGCATGTTTCATAAAGCCGGTAATGCAAGCTCCAATCTAAAGCTTTCATATATGTCCGGCGAAGATGATGTTGCAAAACCAATCAAGCGCATCAACAGTCAAAAGATTTTCGAGAAGTTAGAACTCATATTGAGAAAGAATTCGAAGAATTTATTAATAAACTTAAACAGGTTAAAGAACTAGTGGATAAAGGCAGTGACGCTTAAAAGAAGAAGAGAAGCGTATATGTTAATAAACTGAATCACACGGATATTAAGTTTCCAAAGAAGGAGACCTTAGAGTATTCTGAGATTAAGTTTGACGACAAAGAGAGAGCAAAGGAAATATCGTATATGACAAAAAATATTTAACAAAGTACATTTGAAGAATTCGGAACGTATATATGAATGGCAGAAGCATCCGGATATACAAACAGGGAATAAATAAAACAAGTAATGACCTGAACTTGATAAAGTATGAAGTTATGAACAAATTAACCGACAACATACCATATATTGAAAACTGTATGATGACGACTTATGTAAGGAATGGAAAACTAATTGTTGAAATTATAGACGGAAGAACAGTAGATATGATGAGAAGAGAAACGAAGGGAACTTTTTTTTAATAAGTATTCTTCACCGTATATTTTATTTCATGTCACGCCATTCAAGTGGCAGGGTTATAATCGTTTGGGTTTTTTTCTTTGAGGGTCTTACCCCACACCTCATTCCGATATTGGTTAGAGCATGGATAAGGTCATAGGGTTGAGGTTGTCATGGTTTAGGACTATGTTTTGGTTTCGGGATTATTGTATTGGTTTGGAAGTGCTTTGTGTATGGCGGGATTGAAGGGTTGAAATGTTAGGCGGGTTGAGAAAAGGCGTGAAAGTGTAGGGAGGACTATAGGATGTGAGGTGTGGGGTTAGCCATTGCTTGCCAGAGTATGGAAGAGTGCATGGGAAGACCGCAGGCTGTTTACCCCCGTCGTCTTTGCCTTGCTCATGGTGGCAAGTGAGACCATCTTGCGACGAGTCATCCGGCATTGCATGCGGGTTCGAGCGCTGGCGTGTGTTGTGCATGTGAGACTGAAGCAGCGGTTAATGTTGGTTTCGGTGTTGTGTGGAGCTGCAACAAGCGAGTTGAATGAGACCAAGGTAGTGCAGCCTCTGCTGGAGCTTCTGACAGCACGTTTGCGCCGGCTCCTGCTTCAATCTAAGCTGTCGAACATCGTTTGTTGCATTGACTCGATGCCAACAGCTGCAAGTGAGGTCGCTCGTGGGGCGGAGGATGTTTGGGATGACAACTGCGCTGCGAAGCTTGCCGATGTGGCTGCTCAAGTTTTGGGCCCAGGATTGCAGCATGTCATCACATCCAGCAGGCAGCTCTTGTTTCAGGTTCTTGTCTTCCAAAGCTTCCAGGCTGGCTTCGAGAAGCAGATGCTTGTCGACAGCCAGAGAGCCACAACATACGTGTGCCATCCATGTGTCTGCGACGAGAGGCGCACCACGGCGAACGCCTCCGCTGCACATGATGCTGGTGTGCAGCAACAGCTGCCTGACCTCCAGGCTCCTGGCCAAGGCGGCCAAGGCGAGAGCGGTGTGACAGCGATCCTAGAGCCCTCCAACTCCAGAAGGACGAGCGTGGTAAGCTGCTCTTCCCAGGCCCCAAGCGCCAGCACAGTGCCAGAAGGGGACCAGGCCCAGGCGCCACAAAGTCCAAGTCCCAATCAACTCCAATCCATGCAGCCCGAAGTAGAAGCTCCCGCACACGTTCTTGGCAGTCCAAGTACTGCGGCCTCGTCTGCTGGCAATCCAAGCCCAGCCCCAACATCACCAGCTGGCGTGCGCCATCGTGGAAAGAAGGGGCGGCGCAAGTAGATTCCGCAAAGCCCCTTCTCTTCGCGATTGGAAAAGTTCTAGCAGGCGGCTCTGTCAAACCCGGCGCTTGGCCCGTCCGACCCGACCGCACCGGACCTGGCGAACTCAGAACGATAAGCAAGGACAGCAGGCCGCCACATGCCGCCATCCTGCCGAAGACCAGGTACGCGTCCCTTCAGCTCGTCGTGCAGAGCTTGCGTCGACAAAAGGGCGACTTGAGCCAACAGGAGCAAAGTCATCCAGGTATCAAGGAATCACAAGTTGCATTTCCAAAGCTGCATGGTTGCTTTGTCGAGTTTGGCTCATTAGGATATCGAGGCTGCACCATGTAATCAAGCAAAGCTGGCCAGTGGAGGCGATCGTGAGACCCAACCGGGGAGATGTCGCGACGAAGCGTCAAGTCCACAAAGGAAACAACACGACCGGTGCTCAGCTCGTAGCGGTCGTAGCGATGGGCCCTCCGCTTTGGGTGAGTGCGGACGCCGGGAAGGCCAGCCCCACTCAGATCTCACTCGTACGGGACGGCCTGTGTTTCTTCGCGCTTTCTGGGAGACTTCAGGACAGTTTCGATGACGAGTTAGGGATTGAAACTCTGTGGTGAGAGGGTCTGCGAAAGGGAACATTCAGTGACACACCAAAACGCAAGGGTTTCGATACAAGGGACCACCAGCCGGAGCTAATGCGCACATCCTTGATGAAAAGTCTCATGCATGTCTGGATGAACTCGTGTGCTGCGACAGGTCCTTCAGACACTTGGCCAATGCTGTGCGGAAGCTAGCAGGCGTGAGCTGGTTGCTAAAACCGGTGAGACTGAAGATGCTGATGAGGCATGGAAGCAGGCCTCACTTACATTGTGGTCGTTGGCACTCAGTGACTATAACACAACAATCGAACCAAAAGAGGGTACAATCCTGCCGGTCATGACGTTGTCGCTTGAGTCGCGATTGCAGAAAACCGCCGGCAGCACAAGCAGTAATTGGGGAAGTGGCGGAGAGGAAGGTGCCAAGGCAACTTTGGACAAAGCACGCGAGTCCAAAGACTCTTCCAAAGAAGCTCAAGCACTTCTGAATCTAGCGGCCTTGCAGGCTTCCGCTTGGGCCGCTTCTGGAGCAAAGTCTGCTTTGCGTCCTATTGGTGACTTGCTACAGAATTCCCTTGCAATATTCGAGAAGGATAAGGACCACAGCGGCGAAGCTGTCGCCTGCAACATGCTCGCGAACTTCTACATCCTGCTGGGTCAAGCGAAAGATGCTGTGAGGATGGTTAAGCAGGGGCTCACCGCCACTCGCGCTTTGAGCAGCCGGCTGCATGAAGTTCCCCTCCTCCAGACCCTGATGGCAGCGAGCTTCTTGCGCAACGACGCGGACGAAGCGCTGCGCGCCAGCTGCGAGATCGCCACAATCTGCAGAGCTTCGAAGGCTTCGGCTGTGGCATGTGCACTGGCGGATGCTTGCACTGCGCAGGCACATCTTGCCAATGACGAACAAGGGCAAGCCCAACGACTTGCTGAGGCTGCACTCAAGGCATGCAAGGATGCCAAAGACGTCGATGGCGAGATTCTTGTGCTGGGTGCCTTGCAGGAGATCGCCTTTGCTATTGGCAAGCCTGTATCCGCACTGAAAGCTGCACAAGACTTGCTTGAGAAGGAGCGTAAACGTGGGATCAAGGAAGCAATTGCCAGAGCACATCTCCTGGTCTCCGTATCAGATGCAACTGCAGCGTCATCCAGCGATCTGGCCAAGCAGGCCAAAGAACAGTACGCATCGCTGAAGGGCTCTTTGGTTGGTGAGAGCCTGGCGCTGGTGTCTTTGGCCAGGGCCCTTTTCGCTCTCGGAAAGACCAAAGAGGCTGAAAGCGCTGCCAAGGAGGCAATGGCCTCCTTTGCTTCGGAAGTCGGGCAAGGGTTTGCCAGCTGCCTCTTGGCCCTCGCACAGCTCCGCCTGGAGGACGGAAAGTGAGGGAAAGAGCTGTTCGTGTTGGGGGCCAGAGGTAGAGAGCTTTTGGTTTCTCCAATCGTTGAAGGATGCTGTGGCAGCAGAGCGCCTGGCCCGAGAAGCCTTGGGACTCTTCCAGGCAGTGCCCAGCTGGGCTTGGGCTTGGGGTATCGGATCTATGATGACATGTTTCAGCCTCGAGCCGCGAACTAGGCTTAGCAGATTTTGCCCGGACCTGAACCAATGACAGTTCGAAAGGTGTGCTCTTTGTTGCCTTCAGGATGGACGCCACCGGGTCGGACAGGCATTGGCAGAGCTGCTCGTCAGGAGCCCCGCTTTCAGCAGTATTTGTCCTTGTGCTGACAGATCGGCACAATTCTCTTCTCCCAGACGGTTCTCGCAAACCCATTGATCCGCATGGTGGGCTCTAGCAGAGATTATTCATACCAGAATGTTCGTTGCCGTTTGAATGCATCTGTTGTAGGTGCACTTACTTCTTGGGATTCGTTTGGAATCGCGGTCTGAGCCTAATTCGAGCCTGCACTGCGTGCCTGCGGCAGAGAAGATGGGATGCCCGGCACCTGCAGCTTTTTCACATCTGATTTGCTTGGACTGTCCCCAATGCGAAACCAGGCACGGGCAGCTCAAACTGCTTCGCAGGGCTTGCCTCTGGGCGACCTCCCGCCGAAGCAGATGTGCTTGTCGTGGGTGCGGGACAGAAGTGAGACAGCAGGGTGACGTGAATAATGCTGAAGCATGTTTTTGCTGTGTTGCCACGTCGTGATTCGGCACCCGAGCAAGCTCAACCATCACTGCTACCAGTTACCAGAAGAGCATCAGAGGGTTCACATATTCCATCCTCATCGCCCGCATCGCCATGGTGCGAGCCTGCAGGACCGGCTGGCATTGCTGCAGTGGTGGCGTTGCAGCAGAGGAGGTCACATGTGCACTTCTTGTAGAGCACAGCGTGCAGCCAGACGCATGAGCAGGCGTGTTGTGTGGGTGGATCCAGAGTTTCAATCGGGCCGATTGAAGCGCTTCCTCACGGTGCCTTGCAACACCAAAGTTGACATACTTGCGTTTTGGCTGCACTTCATTCGTCTGTGCTGGATGCAAGAGCAGGGTTTCAGCTTCAGGATGGCATTTGCTGTGCACGTTTTGGCTCTGTTTGTTACATGTCGAATCAGCTTCTGGCCATGCGGGTTCGCAGTGCGGCAGTTGGTTAGCAACCACCGGAATGGTCATGCGACTGTGTGCCTATGTGGTTGGATCTTTGCTGGTCCTGGCTGCCGCAGTGCCCAAGTGCCAAGACATTCACACGTGGCATAACGTCACGGCATATCGTGGCACATGGAGGGTCCAGCTTGCGTCCATCAACGAAAGGGCCCTCTTCTACTGGCCCAACTGTACCGAGATGGGTGCAGCCCCGACTTGGGAGGTCGTTGGTGGACAGCTAGTTCCGGCTGACAGCGCAACCTTTGGCTTCAAAATCGCCGAGGGAGACACTTTCGATGTCAGCTATTCTTTGACACTCGTCCGCAAAACAGCCGAGCCGGTCGAACCGCATGCAGCGCGAAGTAAGCGCGAGGCAGAGGCTGGCCCCTCCAGAAGGCTTTTCAAGAGTATGTCATGCGTGTATGTGATTGCAGCAGCAGGCCCTGCACAGCCAGACGTGCGTGCAGAACCTTTCAATGGAGCAACATGCATGTGGGAGAGGAACGAAGGAGTCGGAGAGAACTACCAGGTCGACTTTCCACCGGGAGATGCGCTAGATGGCGTGGACGTCGTTGTTTGAGCGAGACTGCCCTTGACAAGTTTGGACAGAGCTCATTGACTTGTAAGATGCGACTTGTGTAACATCCAGTTGCAGTCCTGCAACAGCGACCTGCAGCAACTCTGCGGTTGAAAATCGGAGTCAGTTTCCTTCGCTGTGCAAGTCAATGCACATTTTTGGCCATGCAACTGTCTGCAGAAATCGAAATGTGTGCAAAGCATGTTTGGTCGCCTAATTGTCTGCAAAAATCGAAATGTGTCGAATGCACGGACATTGAATGAGCTATGTTCCTGTGACCGTGCTGCTGCCAGCAGTTTTGTTATGCCCATGTTTGACGACGTGCTGTAACATAATCCCGAGTTGTGCTGGCTGCCAAACTCGCGAGATTTGTTGCTGGGTGGGTGCCATGAAAACTCGGCTGAGTGTTTGGGCTCGTGGGAGAGTCGCCTCACTACCGCTCATCTTTGTCTGCGCCACGTAGTATCTTGCTGTAGTGCACCATAGATGCCAAATTTGTCACCGCAGCTGCGCACCACCGCTTGTAGGCTGCGCTCGTCAAGCAATCGAAGCCAAACTGCGGCCTTGGTCGAATTTCGACGATGCCAGATGTGTAAGGTAAGTTCGCATGTTACACAGCCCGTCCGTGCAAGAGCGCTTGCCTGTTCCGGGCAGTGCAGACAGGCAGGGGTAGAAGCCAGAGGTCAGCAAACTTCTGGACTCTGGAGTTCTTTGCTGTCATGTGACCCACTGCTTCAACTAGCCTGCTGCATTCTGCCGTGGTAGAGGTTTGCAGCTAGAGTCTGCTAGAGTTAGTCTAGCCTCTTGATGTTTTCTGCTCTTGGCACCGTGTAAGCAGTGTTAAGCTGGCACGTAAGTTCCAACCTGAGGCGAGCGAAAGCAACTTTCGACATCCACTTTTGCAACATGCCCCTCGGATCTGCACCCAGCAGCAGCTGGAGTGGCGAGTCTTGGGTATTTGTTGAGAGGAGGGGCCCTTGGCACCGCGTGCATAGATCAAGAGATGTTCTACAGCAAAGCCTTCTGATGACGACAGCGATGATGATCATCATCACCACCACCAACACAATGTCCATCATCGTGGTCTCATCATCATCATCATCATCATCATCATTCACCATTGTCATCATCATCATCATCATCACTAACATTATTATTATAGTCATCATTTCCGGCCACATGTCCATCTCGGCATTGTCATCATCGGCATCAGTGCCCTCGTTTCGCCATGACAACAGCTTGTCAGCAGAAAACGTATGAAGGCTCGGTTGCTCCTGAACAAGTGGGGACGGACCACCTTTATCACAGAGTGTTACCGCTCTTTGCAATTAACAGACAAAGGAATTGCTTGTTTGTTTCAAAAAATCGGAACTCGTCTGTTTCGAGCAGAATTCAAAGAGCTGATTCTTGCTCGTCCGTATTTAGGAGCTCGCCAATGTCCGGTAAGATATGAGTTTGACAAGAACTGTGTTCTTCATCACAATGCTCAGGCCATTCAAGTTCGCAGGTGACAGACTCCTGCTGTTGTGCGGGGAATGCAGATCAGGCTTGTGCATTTTCAGCATTGCCAGTGTCTTTCATCCCCATCGCATTCAATGTGAATCACGACAGCTGCGTTTGTTCGTAAAGTGAAGGCACTCGAGAAGGCAGGTGTCTTCCTCGACAAACACATTGCTACCAAGGGTGCATCTTGTCACATTTTGTGCCCACAGTGTTGAGGTTGCAGGAAATCGTGCATCCACGCATCTCTTTGCTCTCGACGTCAACTAGTGTGTGTCTGAAACACTGCGATTGCCTGCATGACATAGTAATAGCCGGTTGATAGGTAAGATATCTTATGTCATGGTACATCAAAAACTTCACGATGTACACATGCACACTTCTTTTCCGACATGTGCCGCGGGAAGACGAATTCGGCGATACATCCAGCAGACGATAATTCTCGATGTCATTGATTGCCAAAAGGGGGGTGCAGCTCTGTTGGACAGAGTTGTTCGTTTTGCTTTTGTATGTGTTTGTGTTTTTTGGCTGTTTTTTCTGATGTTCTAAAGCTTGTTGTCATGGTTATCGCTGTGTCAGTTAGGTCATTATTTCTGTTTTATGATTCCGCAAGAGAAGCGGATTCTCCGTTTCTTGTTTGGAGATTTGCACATGTGTTACAGGCCCGGATTCAAAGCTCCAAGACTTTGGTTCTGGACCTTCTGGATTTCCGTGCGACTTCCCGGCTTCGGGATTCGCAAGCACAGTGAAAACCAGCAAGCATGTTCCAAGGAGTGTTCTTGTAGGATGGAGGAACTTGGAGAAGCCGTAGAAATCAACATCAATTGTATTTTTACCATCAGGTATGCGTAGTACTAGCAGCATGGGCAGTGCCACGATATGCTGCAAGTGCAGCGTTGTATGTGAACGTAAGATGAGCAGTTCTAGTAGTATCCCGAGCAGCGGTAAACATGGTTGGGATTCAGTATTCCTGCAATGTAGTGCAGGAGTTCATGCTGTACTTGGGCCCGGGGTGTGAGGGTCTGCTCATTTCGAGGTGGGAGGAAGTGCGGCTCCCGCTTTGCAGAAATTGATCGCAGACGCGGAGTCTCTGCCAGGGAGCAGCTCGAAAGCTTTGTCGCTACGCGGGTTTGCAAGCTTTCTGAGCTATGTCACAATATTTTCGAAAGTCAACAGTTGTAGCGGAGTTCCAGGCACTGACCCCTCGCAACTCGGATGGACGACGCTCGGAGCATGCAAGCAAATGTTTGATGCTATTACCTCGGGCGCGCTCCAAGCAGGAGGCTTCGGGCGGGGCCTGGCCGGGCCGGGCCGGTTCACGTCGTTTACGTGCTCCATGACATGCCGTGCGCTTTGAGATCCGTCCGAAGTCTGAAGGCCTCTCGCGCTGCTTTGGGAAGGTGGTCCGCCTGCCGCTCGGCCTTCAGGGCGTCCGTCAGAGGTAGCGGGTAGCGGCCTGTGTCGAAGAACTCCGAGCCGAGTCGGAAGCTGAAGACAGTCGACAGTTATCCATCCGTAGAGGGCAGTGACCTTTGAGCTGTTCCACTGCTTTTGGAGTCTCTAGAAAATTTTTACGTTGTTTGCGTTAGCTGTAAACGTTGATGATCTCGTTGCATACGTGGGTCCCTGTGAAGAAGCCCATCCAACGTACCCTGGGACCTGGGAGGTTGCTGTAGTGACAGTTTGCTTGGAGGGGTCCAGTAGCCGCCACGCACTGCCGAAGCATCTTCCAGAACAAGCTGTAACACTGTTGCGTTGATGCTGCGAGTGTCTTGGCGTAGGAAATCGACTTAGGATCAAAATCAGAATGACAATTCATGATTGCCCTGGCAGCGGGGTGACACGATGTGGCTTCGTTTTCGCAGTTGTTTGACGTTCTTTTGTTGTCCAAGGTTGAGGTGGCCACCAGATGTTCTCTTGGGAAGCCTAAGCCTGCACAGCCGGAACTTTGCATGGTAGAAGCACAAGCCCTCCCAAGTCTCTGCGGTGAGAAAACTGGAATTGCAAACCAGCATGATGTTAGTAATGTGCAGGAGGAGAGAATATCGAAGGAGGAGTAGAGCTAGGAAGCACGGACGAGAGCGCAGGACGAGAAGGAGGGGCGGCACGACGAGGAGCTGGTCGGAGTGAAGGATGAGGAGGAGAAAGGGGAGGTGGACGAGGAAGCGGACGAGGAAGAGGGGAGCCGATCCATCTACAATATGCATATAGTTATATGCATTTAAATCTATATACCCACACGTACCATGTCAGTGTATGTGTGTCGTTGATACAAACCCCCATTGAGGGTGGGCAACGAGAGGGTTTTGTACCAGCTTCCGCTTTCCGTGTAAAGCAAGGACGCCTGATGGTGGGCATTGGGTGGCGACTGTGGACAGTCAACAGGGACAGAAATGCGTGAAGGCGAACACTTCGGCAGCGTTTCATGCAGGGCCTTGTGCTGACTTCGTTTGGCAGGTAAGGTGCGTTGTCCTCGCCACCGGAGCAGAACCCAAAGCTGCGCCAGTACCCAACGCTCTCTCGGCCGAGAAGACCTTCGACGAGGCTGGGGTTGCATCGTCGCATGGCAGGTGCTCGCCAATCAGGTTTCGGCAGACCATGCTAGGACTTCTCGCCTTTGCCGAAGTGTGGAAGCTAGGACTCACTGCGCCAACATCTACGGCCAAATCAGCGCCTGGCTGTGCTCGGGTCAACGCCCTATCATGAGAGTTGAAGGATGCAAGAGATTCACGACCTTTTGGGAATTGAGATTTTGCAAGAGTCAAGAAACCAAGGAACTCTCACACGGCAGCGGTAGCCTTGGCAAAGCTCGGAGCAGCCTGGTTTATCATTGTGGCAGAGGCGTTCATTCGCAGGGCGGTGATTCATGCGACTGAATCGTTTGGGTAACGGGCAAGGAACTGGCGGTGCCAATGTCACTTTCCATCACCTGCTTCGCAAGACGGCCATTGCGCTGCGCCGAATGGCTGGAGCATTCAAAAGTCTATCGCTACAACTCGACAGGACGGCAAGAGTTTCGGATTGAAATTTGCAGCTGACGTGGTCATCGACTGCTGAGACAGAGGGATGTGCACCCATCTCACGTCCAGATCATTGCCCTCGGTTGCTTTCCCTTCTGCATGCGAGAGTGGCAAGCTCCAGCAGAGTTCAAGCAGCGCTGGAGGATTGTGTTCCATATGCAGAAACATGGTTACTTGAAGCACCGTCAGGGTGCGTGTGAGGACTGAAGGGCTTCGGCGCGGTGTTTGGTCGGGAGTGCATGATCCACGGCACGAGCTGGCTGCAAGTCAAAGATGTCAAGGCAGGGCCGGATTTCTCTGTTGATCGCGCTGACAGACCCAACCTGTGCCAATGCGAACAGTGTACGGCCCGGACAGGGATCATCTGAACATCTTTGTCAGGATTTTTCTCCCGAGCATTGGGACTGGATCATTGACTGTACAGGGTACGTCAAAAGTCTGCACCTCGAGGGCTACATATTGCGCAAAAGTGGTGAAGGCAGCAGCGACTGAACCAAGGCCAGCTGCCAGCCATCGATGGTGTGACGAAGGCGCAAGATCTGCCACGAGATGAGGCCGCATCACATTTGTCAGCACCATTATCGACTGTGCATCCCTTCCCCCTTCATGCTGATCTGCTAAGAGGCCCCACTGAGGGCTGATGCATTTGCGTTCTGACACGAGCCGCCGGCCCTCAAGTGCCAGGCTTCCGGTGCATTGCTCGGTGCTCCTCCAGGGCTCTTTGCTTTGGGCGTACCATGGGGAGAGGTGATCTGGCTGTAAGCGCTGCGGTGATCGTGTTCTGGCAGTGAGTTGTTGGGAAGCTTCTGCATTCTGCAGCTCGAGGCACCTGGGCGGCTATGGGGGCGGGGTCTTGAAGCAGAAGATGGCTTTAGAGGCGGAGCGCCGGGACGGCAGCAGTTGTGCCCACACTGCCACACTGTTCAGACCTTGGCAGGCGAAGACACGTTTGTCGGATTTTCCATGTTCTTTGCTCGAGCGAGCCTTATTGCCGATGAGATCGACAAAGTGCTAGACCGCAGCTGCAAGGGCGGCTGCAAGGATGCATGAACAGCACTGAGAGATCTGCAAAGCAGATTCTCATGCCGTGCCGAGCTTTCCAGCCTCTGGCTACACAAATTAGGCAAACAAACTTCAGCTTCCGTCGTCCTGCAGTCCCTCAGCTGTGTTTCTGCGCTCACGGAGGAAGTCGCAGCAGCTTCGCGACAAGCCCGCAGAGTGCAAGATAGCTGCTTTGGACAGCATTAGGAGCCCTGAAGAATGGGTTTGCTCAACGCTGACTACTGGGCCTGAGCAAGAAGCCGGCTGAGGTCATCGACGACTCTGCCGTGGCGCATGTAGAAATCAGCGGCATCTGCCCCCGGGTTGCAAGGGTGAGTCTGTCCGACAGTGTGCGAGCCGTTGCAAACCGGACCTCTTTCACCCGTGAGCTGATCTGTCGGCCTAGGCACCCCAAAGTCTTTGGAACACGAAGAGTCCTCAGATCTCAGTACATGTAATGTCTGCACATGCAAGAAACGACGAGCATGCGACTCGCTCGAGACAAGGTTCTGAATGCACTTCATGATGCACGCTGTAAAGATGGCGTCAAGGCAAAGTTGCAAATGCCCACATGAATGAAGCGCTGTAAAGGTTTGCAATCCTTTATGGGTTTTCAATGTCGGGCTTGGTTTCGTAGATTAGCTTTGCAGTTTATCAGATTATCCATTGCGGTCTCCTGGGGGACGTTTTGCCCAAAGACCGAAGACACATTTCGAAGACACGTGGGCCGCCGTCTTAGGCTATCTAGAACGGTACGTGAAGACACATGGGGCGTCAGCAGACGCGTACCAGCCGAAGACTGCACATACTGTTAGGCATCAGAACAAACATTCCGGATGAAGAAACGTGGCGTCGCGAAGACGCTTCCGGCGAACACGTGCGGCGGCTCGTACAAAGTGCAAGAGTGCTGATGGTGCAAAACAGATGTATGCAATGTATGTATGTAGGTAGGTTCGTATCTGTATGTTTTTTGTTTTGCATTTACGCATGTATGTTGCTTTGCTTGTACTTACACATACATGTATGTATCTCTTTAGCCGGGCGCAGCTATTAAGACGTACCTCGGTTTAAGAAGGCAAAAAGTTTCTGGTGTTTAAAGACGATTTTTTACCGGAGTCGGGTGTTGTTTGGGTTTCAGGGGTTGGAGTTTGATTGGATTGTTGATTGGATTGAAATAGGCTGAAATGTGCAGCACTGAAGAATAGGTAATTTGGTAGGATTGTAATACAAAAACACGAAAGCAATAGGAAGGCTTTGTCGGAGCAGAACTTGTGTGGAGTCTGTAAAGACCCCGAGTAAATCTGCGAACCGCGCCCGCCTCTCTTTTTATGGCTAAGTTTAACGCTACCGCCCGCCTCGGCTTGCCGGAGACCGCAATGTGACAGAACTCATCGACTTGCTGTAATGTGAAAAAGCAGTTCGGATGGAGGAGGGGGGCAAGGGACGCAGAAGGGCAGCGGAACGGGGTAAAGGAGCAGAAAGGGCAGGCCGAAAAAAGCAGGAAAACGGAGGGGTGGAACAAAAACATGTAAAATGAAGGGGGGGGGCGGGCGGAAAGGTGGGAAATGAGCGCAAAAAACGGGTGCGTCCAAACTTTCGGGGATTAGGTGGAGGGTACCTGAGCTAACCCCCAAAGCGCCAGGGCTTGTGGCCTCGGCGGATTAAACCAGAACTTGCAAACCAAGAGGTAGCAACCCACACGAAGCCACAAAACCAAGACCCCCGCCCCTCTCGCCTCCGCAAAGGGAGCTGCACGCGCTTTTGCTTCACTCGAACCATCAGCCTGCGGTCGTGCCGCTCGGTCTTTCGCCTGTAGATGCGAGCGTGGTTTGACGCTGCTTCAAAATTCTCTGTACTTTTAAAGTTGCTTATGCCATCTCGTCGAGAGATGAATGGCAAACGGAAGTTGCCATAAATCGCACTCCACCACTGAGGGCCCGAATCGCCTCCAGGAGCGGAGGAAAACCGTAGCGCCCCAGCACCCCACCCGTGGGTGCGTCCCTTCTTTGCGAGTGTGCCCCGCCATTTGAGATCTCCTCGCTGGCACCGGAGGCTGCGCAAGGTGCGATCCAACGCCAGAAAACGGCTCGCAACCGGCGAGCGCCTGCGAAAACGGCAGGCACACTTATTGCTGGTGCATCACAGCTCGGCACCATCTCTCCGAAGCTTGGTACGATCTCGAATGCCTCGAGGCAAGCCAAAGGCTCCCGAAGCGCCATGGCGGCGACATCATGGGGAAGCCTCAGGGTCCCGGCACTCGTCGGGGCAAAGCTGGTCTGTTTGGCCGGGTGCGTGGCGATCTGCGGGATCCCCGGAGCCTGGAGCCAAAGCCAAGGCCTTTCCATCATACGACCGCAGCTGGGGTCCAGAACCGGCTATCCGAGTGGTGAAGGAGGAGCGTGCCCTTGCACTACCCGGACCAGAGGATTTGACTGCCAGGCACGTACAGCAGGCGGTCAACACTTTGAGAAAGGCCGAAGGACGAGTGGCGAGAATCACTCGAGACCAGAAGGAGAAGGCAGAACGGTTTGCGGCGTACGAACGCATGATGATGGCTGCCTACAACGAAGAGCAGCAAAAGCATACCGCTCACCAGGAGAAACTTGCGGTAGAGTTCGTGGAGGCTACAGCGGCCCTGGAGACGGCCAGGACTGCACTCGCCAAATCCATCTCGGGCCATCCTGCCGTGGAGGCCATGGAGACCCAGGAGACACGCGACAACCCCTGGCAGCAGATGATGCAGCGAGTGGCCTCTACGGCACCAGTTTTGGCCCCGGAAGACATGGAGCTACTACGACAATACAAGGCCGGATTGCTGCCGATGCCCGCACAGGTGGCAATGGGACCGATGCAAGGAGGGACCGCTCCACCTGCAGCACCTGGTTTCGGCCACGTGGACCCCATGGTTCCGCCGGGACTTCCTGCACCTGTGTCCCCGGCGGCCACTCTGCCTACGCGAGCTCCGGAAGAGGCTGCACGTCTGGCCCATCCTTTGATTGCAGGACAACCTCCACAGACATATGGAGCGGCCTCGCCATCCCTTGCGAATGCCAGATCTGCTCCATATCCGCCCAGCTCTCCTGTGATTCAGAAGCCCGAGGTACACAAGGAGCCAGGAGAGGACAAGGCGACGGTTCCAATTGGAGTGCCAGACCACGCTGGGCTGCCTGCTCCGACAACTTCCGAAGGAGGGACCGATCTGGCCGCCAAATTGGAGCAGAAGCGGGCCGCGGAGGCCGGCACAGCAATGCAGCCGTTCAGACAGCCCCCGATGAAGACGGGTGCTGCCACCGGCGCTCCAGCTGCTGTTCAACAAGCGCACGCGATCGCACAGGCTACTTTAGTCCACGACGATCAGGACCTGGCGGACGGCGCTATTTCGCCGGGACTAGCCAACATGGAGTGACGGCCAGTGAAGGTCTTTGTCTTCATGGTGTAGGCCCTGCTCCTCCAATCACTTGCCCAAAGACACGAATCCGCCTAGAGTTCCCGCAGCAGCTCGGGCTCTTACTGGGAAGAGCCCCTGTCGCTAAGCAGAACCTTGGGCAGGATCGTGTCCGCGGAGCAGGTTGTATTGGGGATGTTGCAAGGTCCATGTCTCACTGTAGCCTGCGGCTTGCTTGTTCGGTCCCTGACCCTTTCGAGGCCCTCCCGACCATCTTTTGCGGAGTCTGCGCCCTAACCAACTGCTTGGGATCGGCAGTTGGTAGGGAGCTTACCTCCACTTCTTCCTCGCGAAAGCAGGGGACGCACTGGGCTTGTGCATTCCCATGCTTTCCCCCGCCTCGGCAGGCACACTGGTGCCCCAGCATCCTCGCCCAACCATACCTCGGCGACTTTTGTGAGGATCAATACATGTGCTCCCTCCCTTTCCAAGTCGACCTCCGTCCTGTGTGCGCGCCTAAAAAGCAAATCGGTGGCGCTGGGTTGCTTGCCACACAGACACGTCGATGGTCGCACAAGTCGCGACTTCCGGCCCTTTGCCATGAAACGGGCCGAGACCCCACTGCAATCCTCGTTCTTGCCCTTGCTTGCGTGGGCAGATGGCTGTGTTCGATTGCCCGCACTTTCTTTGGCACAATTTTGGTTGCACTCATTGGGCTACTGTCGACCGCAGTGCGAGGCCGAATCCACCCGAGACAACGGGTGCTTTGGCCCTTTCGTGCCTTCCTTTGGCCACTTGGAAGTGCTACCAGCGCCGCGACCCCGGGTCAGGCAGACCACAGGCAGGTTACCAGGCGAGGCAATATAAGACGCACGTGGCCCCACACGCATCCGCGCCATGGTGCTCCCTCCCGGAAAGTTTGTGGATGGCTTTCGAGTGCTTGGCTGCTCACCCTTCTGCACTGCCCCTGTCAGGTTTGGGCTGCTCCGTCGGATTTGCCGGAGGTGATCCAAGCGTTGGAAGCCGTGGTTGCTTCACAGCCCGATGCCATGCCAGCACTTCCCGATGTGGAAGACCACGAACAGGCTGATTTTATTCAGTTGCCCTGCCAGCATAACTCCACGCAGCCTTTTCCCCCTGATTTCTGGATTGGAGTTACGGTGCACACTGCATATTATCCGCCTTTGCGATATGGGTGCCGCTTCTCAAGACACCAAGGTTTGGCCAGCCTCCTCTGCCGGGTGAGGCGACAAGTGCTGGAGCAGCACCCGCAACACAGCTGCCTTGCTCCCGCTGTTCCCCAAAGGCATCCTGGATATGCCACCGTCGTGGCTTTCCCGCTGAGTCTCGACCAGCACGGCCTCGTTGCATGCATTGTTGACCTGACGCATGTTGGAGGACACTACTTCGCACATAACCTTCAGGTTGGTGTCACTGCCGGGGATGTGCTGCACACGTTCCGGGATCAACTCAACTGCGATACCACTGAAGCTGCAGTTTATGTAGGTGCTGGTGTGAACCCGGTGCCCCTGCAAGACACACTCGAGGTGAGCCACGGGTCTGTTGTTCTGGTCCTTAGACAGGACGTCCAGCCACCTAGCCCTGCCTACATTGCAGCTCTGTG